ATTTCACTACTCTAGTTAGCTCAAATAAGTGAAATCAAACAGCATTTGTCTTCTTGTGACTGGCTTATTAAACTTACCCTAATGTCCTCAAGGTTTATCCATGTGGCATGTGTCAGAATGTCCTTCATATTTAAGGCTGAATAATATCCCACTGTATGCAAATATCACAGTTTGCTTAACTCTTCATTCATCAGTGAACACTTGGTTTGCTTTCACCTTTTGGCAATTGTGCGCAATGCTGCTGTGAATTTACATGAAGGTTTATATTCTACTATTTACTTCCCATTGTAATATTTATGTATAAACATATTTTTTTCTAGGTTGACATATAGCCTTCATAATAAACCTTTTTCCCTTGTTTTAGCATCAACATGTCAGTCCTTAAAATCCATACACTTAAATCTTTTTCTACAGTTGGACATTGAGATGTTTCTAACTTTTCCCTCATTGCTGATAAAAATTTTGTACCTGTGCTATTTCCCCTATATTTTAGCTTATTTTCCTAGAATAGAGTCTTTAAAAGTGCAATTGCTAGCTTAAAAGATATGGATATTTTATGATTTGAAAGATAAGAGATGGGGGAGATAAATAAGGAGTTTGGGATTAATATATACACACTACTGTATATAAAATAGGTAAGCAGTAAGGACCTACTGTATGGCACAGGGAACTGTACTCAATAATAATCTATAATGTAAAAGAGTCTGAAAAAATTTATATATACATATTAATATATAACTGAGTCTAACTGTGAGTTGGTGATGGACAGGGAAGCCTGGCGTGCTGCAGTCCATGGGGTCACAAAGAGTTGGACATGACCGAGCGACTGAACTGAACTGACTGATGCTAAATGGCAAAAACTATAGACTTTTTGTTTATTATGCAAATTATTTTGAAAACATTTAAAAATAAAAAGTCACCAGTAAAAGTAAGAGCTCAGTCTGTGTGTCATTAGACTAGTCCAACTGTGTTGGAACTAACACAACATTGTAAATTAACTATACATCAATTTAAAAAATTTTTCCAAACCACAAAATGAAAAAAGACAAGAGATAGAAAGTCAAATTGCTTCTTAAAAGAACTGTATCTATTTGCACACTAATAGTGTATTTGAATTTATATTTCCCTATATTCATACTGAGCTTCCCACATGGCTCAGTGGTAAAGAATCCTCCTGCCAATGCAGGAGTCAAGGGTTCGATCCCTGGGTTGGGAAGGTCCCCTGGAGAAGGAAATGGCAACCCACTCCAGCATTCTTGCCTAGAAAATTCCATGGTCAGAGGACTCTGGCAGGCTACAATCCATTGGATCTCGAAGGGCTGGACACAACTGAGCATATACTCACACCATCTTTTTTTTCCCCTAACTTTAGAAATTTAAACAGGAGGAAGATAAGAACTCACCTCTGTTTAATAGACAACACTCTGATTATTAACAATGATGAGCATGTATGAGAACACTCCAAACTTGGCTAGTCTGTAAGTACTAATATGGCTACAGTTAACTGAAAACATAACTGTAACCTTGCCAGCTCCTCGAGTTTTAGCCCAGTAATGCCTATATTGGAATTCTGACCTCCAGAACTCTAAGATAATATGTTTGTGTTTTATAAGCCATTAAGTGTGTGGTAATTTGTTACATCAGCAATAGAAAACTCATATACTCCCTTCTTCCTGTTTCTTTTGCTTTCTTCCTATTTTTCCCCCAGTTTTTCTTTATATCTCTCTTTTTTTTAAGCCCTAAGTTGAAAGTTCCCCAGTTAATTAAGACAGTTAGGAGGGGCTACAACTTGCACAATTAGGAAAACTCTGCGGCTACTCTGCTCAAAAGTTGTATTTGCTCTTTTATAAATATTTATGTTCCTTGCATGGGCTTCGCAGGTGGTGCTAATGGTAAAGAACCCACCCGTCAAAGCAAGAGTCACAAGAATTAGATCCCTGGTTCAGGAAGATCCCCTGGAGTAGGAAATGGCAATCCACTCTAGTATTCTTGCCTAGAGAATCCCATGGACAGAGGAGTCTGGCGGGCTACAACCTGTGGGGTCAGATAGAGTCGGACATGACTGAAGTGACTTAGCATGCATGTTCTTTGCCCTAGTGATGACTCTTCGATGTCATAAGAGTATAGACCTATAGGGCCACTCCAAGCTTCCATAAAGAGCCATCCTCTCTCATGTAACCCATCCATCCCATCATCAACACAAGAAATATTTACTGGAGGCTGCTATGTGCTAGGCATTGAGCTAGCTTTGGGAAATAAAAATGGAAGTGCGCAGTCAATGCCTCCAAAGAGGCCATGGGAGTTGGATTTTTATACTTGAGAATTGCAGTTTTTTTGTTTATTTTTGTCTTTTTTAAAATTGGTCCTGTGGATGTTCTAATATTTGTTTCTTTCCAGAAAGCAACTGGATATGTGGAAGTCTCTGACTAAGTAACAAGGGACAGGATCTGTACCCTGGTTGCATTGTGTCTTCCAATTTGTATTCAGACCCAGACAAAAGTTAATGTGTTTGATGATAGATAAGCATGGATGGAAAACGGTGTAGCCCAGTGCTTCTTTGTTTAGGGTAATTCCTCCCCTCTCTTCAAGCTCTTCAGTGCTGCTTTCCTCCCCGTGACGCATGGAGCTAAGGTTCCAATTAAATCTTTGTGGACAAAGGGCACACATGGCCTCCTCAGATGATCTGTGGCAATAAATTCACCAGCAGCACACTTTATGAGAGAAGTCCGAGCTGAACTGTTAAGAGCTGGCAGCACCTCACCGAGTACCTCACACCAGGTGAACTCTAAGCTGAGATGTTTCTCTCTCTGCCTACATTTAATCCTTCTTTATAATTTGTCTCTGAATAGAGAATTATGGCTTTAAAATTTACTACTGATTTGTTGACAAATTCCTGGTTTTGTCTGCTTTGTTGTTCCATTTGGTTTTGATCACTTGTATATTTTTGGTCTGTTCTCAGAGTACTTATTTTATTCCATTTTACATCTTTTAGCTTTCCACTGTTTTTCTTTTAGTCTTTTCTTATTTTCTTATGTATACATTTCTTATATATCCTAAGTCAATTTGTATTTAGAAATAGCTTTTCCTTGTATTCAGAGAAATGAAGGTTCTTAAATGATTTACATGCATTTTCTGGTTATTTCTTAATTTCTGATCTGAAAATTTGGTTCCATGGGCACCCCTCAGTCACTTGGATCTGTAGTGTAGACAGTATTTTTCCTCCAGCCCTTGCCTTAGAGCAGAGTAGCTCACTGCTTGGATATTTACAACATGTGAAGTTGACTATCGAACCCCAATGATAATCATTTAAAATTATTTATTTCTTATATTATGGAATTAGTTAATTGTAGAATAATTAATTTATAGAATAACTCAAAAAGAAGATAATTNGTAGAATAATTAATTTATAGAATAACTCAAAAAGAAGATAATTTGTCATTGATTATAATAACTTTTGTGTGGCTCTTGTGTGTGTATCTTTCTATTCTTTTAATGGTGCATCTATATCTTTTATATAATTGAGGTCAGGCTATAAATACAGTCTAAAATCCTTTTTTCTTTACATATTGATTGTATTTTCTAAATCATCAAAATTATTTAAAATATTATTTTTGAGAGCTATTTATATTCAACCATCAAAATGTATCATTTCTTCACTGACATAAATAGGATTATTTATTTTAAACATTTAATTATTCACTTTAAAATATTTGACTGTATTTCTGATTATTTTCTTAAGATAGGTTTCAAATTAAGGGGAACACAAAGAGCCTGATGTGTTTCTTGACAGTAATTTGTTTCAAACATTATAAAATTGGAATTGTTGATGCTACAACAGAAACAGCATAAAGGAAAATGGAATTCTTCGCAGCAACTGTTATTATCTGAAGTTTAACCAAGTACTGTGACTTCTTGCTGACTAATGAGGTGAAGTCCTAAGTAGAAAATGAGTCATGAAAGCTAGGATTTTACCTACACAGAGTAGCGTACATATCTGAGCAGGAGTTTGTAAAAAAGCTTAAACAAAAAAACAGCTGTGTTTCTCGTACACAGAACAAGGAGAGGTGGCGGGGTACTTTCCTGCAAGTTAAAAAAAAACTTGGGATTTTGTTCTAGTTTGTCACTAATTGTGTGACCAGAGACAAACCTCTTAGCTTCTTGAATATCAGATTTGTCATCTGTGAGATGAAAAGGCTGGTCAAGGTCAGTGTTTCTCACTGGCAGCAGAAATTTTAATAACACTGCGGCACACGGGCTACTTTGGGGTGGTACATAGACGTAGAACATTATTTTTCATAAAGTGTTTTTAAGCAATAATGTTTCAGCTTTTAAAAAGAGTGGCTTTAGAGGAAAAGATTAAGTAAATACCAATACAAGTAGTCCTCAGATATGCCATAATCTACCAAGGTGGTGGGCAAACATCTGATGTTTGAGAAACACAGAACTCCATGATACTCTATAAAGCCTGCCTAATGTGCAGGGTAAAGTTCCAGATATAAAAAGCTGATAAGCAGTGCTTTCTTGGAAAGCGTTCCAGGAATGGGATAGAATTATGGAGATGTATAAGAAGTGAACAGAGATGTGAGCACGGAAAAGTTCAAATACCATCCGATCTTTGGGAGTTTGGGATTAGCCAATGCAAATTATTGTATATAGGATGGATAAGCAACAAGGCCAGGGAACTATATGCAGTATCCTGTGATAAAACATAATGGAAAAGAATATGAAAAAGAATATGTACATAGGTATAACTGAATCACCTTGCTGAACAGCAGAAATTAACCCAACATTGTAAATCAACTGTACTTCAAGAAAATATTTTTTAAAAATGAAACAAACAAACAAACAAATATCGCTTGCAACTCTTTGTACTCCATATTTTAATCATAAGTTTCACTTTTCTGGACAGGATTTCTCCCTTCTTTCTGCAAAGACCTGTAACTATAACAGGATCCTCCCTGAGAACCTGGTGGAGAAGTTGCCCTGGCCCAGCCCTCAGCATGCTCAGGACAGTCTTGGATGCTTCTCAGCGGTTACTGAAGAAGGGGAGAGAGTCCCGGAGGCTGGTGCTGCTAGTGGTGTTTGTTGCTCTGCTCCTGGACAACATGCTGCTCACGGTGGTGGGTACGTTTGGGGGTCTTGGTGCTGGGAGTTAATTTTCTCTGGGCCCCAGGGGGCAGCATGTGCCTGGTTAGAACTCTGCAGTGAATGGACCGGAGACTTTCCTTTTGTGCTTGAGGACACCAAGATCACTAGGGATTGGAGGAAACAGCAGGAAATGGAGTCTGAAACTTGCAAACCTTTGCTGAAAGACCCCAGAGGTTCAAAGAGAAGGAGGTTCAGGGAGCATCTGACCTGATCAAAGAGGCTGACCTGGAGCCAGAACTGGAAATCCTTTTCTTCCTCCCCCTACTCCTTTCCAGGGTGCTAATTATTCCAAAGACCTCCGGGAGAGTGAGTATCTTCTCACTGGGTTGCTTTTGTCTGTTCTGTCAAAATAACACACTCTATGCTGTGCTTAGTTGCTCAGTCATGTCTGATTCTTTGCTCTCCGTTGGACTGTAGCCCACCAGGCTCCTCTGTCCATGGGGATTCTCCAGGCAAGAATACTGGAGTGGGTTGCCATGCCCTCGTCCAGGGCATCTTCCTGATCCAGGAATTGAACCCCGGTCCCTGCATTGCAGAATTGCAGGCGGATTCTTTACCAGCTGAGCTGCCAGGAAAGCCTAAGATATTCTATGTGGATTTCCAACTCCTTATCCAAATCTTACTTTCCTGTGGCTCATTCCCTCCCAGTTCTTCTTTTTAAGTTGGTAGTATATTAATTTTTACATTTAGTTATGCTGGTATATAAATGGGTGCCAACATATTTCCCCTCGGATAAAATGCATGCATGCATCCTGTGTCACTTCAGTTGTGTCCGACTCTTTGAGACCCTCTGGACTGTAGCCTAACAGAATTGACTTGGTGCACACATATGCATGCATGCATTTAGTCAATTAATATTTTAATAACAATTAAATAATTGCTTCTTGGGAAAATACACACATACACACGCATACCCCATATAGATTATAATCTTAAATTAAAAAAAATGTTATCTGTCCCGGTAGATTATATTTTTTTTTTTTACAAAAGAGATAGCGAGGTTCAGCAGTGCTCAGTGCCTTGCCTGAGGCGGCCCCGCTAACAGGTGCCGAGTGGATTTGAGCTCTGCCCAGCTGGCCCCAGAGCTTCACCTTCCTGACCTGCACCGCTCCTCCCACCACGTGCTCCACAGGCCTGTGTCAGAGGCGAACAAGAAGGCGGCCTCGGCTGCAAAGCTGAGCATCTGATGACTCAGTNAGGCGAACAAGAAGGCGGCCTCGGCTGCAAAGCTGAGCATCTGATGACTCAGTATTTCTTCGTGTGTGTCTGAGAGAAACCGTGCTGGCTCTGTGAGCACTGATTTTGGTGATTACAAATAAATGTTAGCCAGTGAGTGAATGAGCCAATATGGAATCCACGGATAATGAGGACCAGTTGTATGATGGTTGGAATTCAGGCACTTGAGCTAATAGGATAATTTGGGCAAGCACAGTCTCTTTTTTTTTGGGTGTGCTGACTTCTTGTTGTGGCTCACGCGTTCTTTGCTGATGCACCCGGGCTTTCTCTAGTTGTGGTGAGTGGGGCTATTCTATAGTTGTAGTAGATGAACTTCTCATTGCAGGGGGTTCTCTTGTTGCAGAGCACAGGCTCTAGGGCACATGGACCTCAGTAGTTGTGGCCACATGTTTAGTTGCTCCACGACACATGGGATCTAAGTTCCCGGACCAGGGATCAAACCCATGTCCTCAGTTGAAAGGTGGGTCCTTAACCACTGGACCACCAGGGAAGTCCTGGCACAGCCTTTGAGTGGACTTCAGATCATGTCACTTAGACATCTCCATGAGCATAAATCTGGATTGCGTGATAATGTCCCTGAACCAGCTAACAGTCAAAAGACAATCTGGCCTTGGCCCTCATGACTGTCCTTCACTTTCAGTGCCCATCGCACCCACCTACCTCTATGCCATAGAGTTCAAAGACATCAGTGGTTCTCTGTATCTCGGCTCCACCACAACTTCCCGGCCTGCCCTCACTCCCACCTTTCCTGCTATCTTCTCCTTCTTTGAAAACAACACCGTGGCTATTGAAGAAAGTGTGCCGGATGGCATAGCAAGGACAAGTGGCATTTCTGACCATCTCCCCTCCAGTCATTGAAGCCATCCCAGCACATGGAAACAACTGCTTTCAAGCCACAGAATTCCTGAAGGAAGAGAACATATGGATCGGGGTTCTATTTGCTTCCAAGGCTCTGATGCAACTTCTGGTCAACCCCTTCATGGGACCTCTTACCAACAGATATCTTGATGGATGCAGTACCATATGGGGGACTCAGGGGCTCAGAAGTAGAATGGGCTAAGATATCATAAAGGTGGTTAGAAGGGATAAAGGTGATTACTTGTCTGTATCCCAGGCAGTCAGCTCTTTGGGAAGGATAACACAATATTGGCGTAATGCCACGGGTTTCAGGTTTTCTTTGTAACATCATGACTGTTGAGTACCAAGAAGAGAAGCAGCGAACAGAAATATTCTATTGGTGTTATTTCAGTGCCCTGGAACATGGTTTAAGTGGGAAAAGGGGGGAAATAGGACAAGCCTATTGCAATCTAGAGTGCTGGCCTCTTAGTACTTCATGGTTGGGATTATTCTGATGTTTCAAAAAGATATGCACTCTGCTTAGGTTATCTTTTCTGGAAAAGAGGATTTGGGTCCTGGCTGACAGGTAAATTTGCCTGTTTATTTGTATGTATTCAAGTGTCATATTCCATCTCTATACCTGCATTCAGAGGCACTCAAATAACCACATTTCTGTTCCCAATTACATGAAACAATATAGTGCAAGTATATGGATGGCTATTGGACTTGTATCTTTTTTTTTTAATTCCCTTTTAGGATTGGATATCACATCCCCATGTTTGCTGGCTTTGTTATCATGTTTATCTCCACAGTTAGGAAGTAATTTGTTCCCTCTATTCTTCCCTTCATTGATTAACTTTGATTTTATCACATGCATTACAGGGAAGATATAGCAGAGTCAAGTTAGCTAATTAGTCATTTGACTAAGTGGCCTATGACACTGATTTAAATGCTTTACAGTTTTGTTATGGGGACCAGAGCAGTAGAGACAACTTAGTCTATGTGGCATTTGTATCTGTGCTCAGTTGTATCTGACTCTTTGTGACCCCTTGGGATTATCCCAGCAAGAATACTGGAATGGGTTGCCTTTTCCTCCTCTAGGGGATCTTCCCGACCCAGGGATCGGACCTGAATCTCCTGTATCTCCTTCCATTGGCAGGTGGGCTCTTTACCACTGAGCTAACTGGAAAGCCCAGCATTTGTGTATTACACTGTAAAAGTACCGATAGGTCACTTCATTCAGCTGGGGAAAATTGTGAAGGCTGTTTTAATATGTATAATATAGTGTATGTGTGTATGCATGTGTGAGAGTAATCCCTTGAATGAATTTAGTACAAACCTCCCATCTTTAAGAATAGGTCATAGTGCTTTGATTTACAAGGGTAAAGGGCAACTAACAAAAAATCTAAATTGGTCAATAGCAACTGGCAAATTCCAAAAAGTTTACTGCCTTCAAGGAAGGCCATTAAAGGTTATAGATTTAGAAAATAAATTTGCTAAGGAAACAAGAAAGAGAAAGACAAATAGTCTACCCAGCATCAGATAAATATTCCCAATAAAATGTAGATAAAATGAGAATATTAAGTGAAATAAAATACGCCTGGAAATTGACCCTGAAAAAAATAAGAAAGAATGAATATGGGGCGAGGGTGAGGGGGTGGGGAGAGGTTAATAAAGGGGAAGGCAGCCTGGTGCCTCTGCTGCCTCTCCTCCAAGTAACACATGCATTCTGCCTCTTGTTTCTCTTTTCCAAATTGCTTGTTTATTCATTTATCTGTGGCTGTGCTGGGTCTTGGGTGCTGTGCGCAGGGTTCCTCTAGCTGCAGGGCTTCTCACTGTGCTGCTTCCCCTTCAGAGTGCAGGCTCCAGAGTGCATGGCTCAGGAGTTCTGCTGCAGGGCTCAACTGCCCCGAGGCATGTAGGACCCTCCTGGCCCAGGGACGGAACTCCTGTCTTGTTTTTCTTATTACCTTTCTGTTACTTTTCTACTTTTCCTATTGTTCCTCTGAAGCTTCCATCCCTTCCAGCATGGGACTGGACTCCTTTCTACCAGTGCTTAACAGGAACTCGTTTCATTCAGGGCTGGAAGCTACAAAGTGCAGGGGCTCCGTGTATGAAGTTCTATCTGAGAACATCAACCTACTTGTGACATTGTAGTCGAATCAAAGAAAATGAAGAACTTAAAGTTGGAAATCTTTATTGAACTTCTAGGAGTTCAACCTATGTTGAAAGTGGTGGAAGTGAAAGTTGCTCAGTTGTATCTGACTCTTTGCGACCCCATGAACTATACAATCCATGGAATTCTCCAGGCCAGAATACTGGAGTGGGTAGCCTTTCCCTTCTCCAGGGAATCTCCCCAACCCCTGGACTGAACCCAGGTTTCCCGAATTGCAGGAAGATTCTTTACCAACCAACTCATAAGGGAAGCCCAGAGAATACTGGAGTGGGTAGCCTATTCCTTCTCTAGCAGATCTTCCTGACCCTAGAATTGAACTGGTGTCTCCTGCATTGCAGGTGGATTATTTACCGACTGAGCTATCAGGGAAGCTGCAACCTATGCTAAGCAGTAAATTAAAAAGTAATAAGGTACTCTGTCTCGTCAAATGAGACAGATAGAATTCATGTCTATGGTGCACATGTATGATGCCTTGATGGTGGAAAGTCACTGAGGAATGTAAAGAACGAAAGGATGTGGTTCTACACATCTTGGAGTTCTTGTGGTTCTTGGAGTTCTAAGAACTCTAGGAGTTCTTATTTATTTTTGGCTACGTTGAGTCTTCATTGTGGCAAGCAGAATCTTTCACTGTGTTTCGTGGGCTTCTCTCTAGCTGTGGTGCACAAGCTGCAGACTGCATGGGCTCTGTAGTTTGCAGCATGGGCTCTCTAGTTGCGGAGCATGGGTTCAGTTGTTGCCACACACGAGTTTAGTTGCCCCATGGCATGTGGGATCTTAGTTCTCTGACCAGGGATTGAATCCATGTCCCCTTCATTGGAAGGCAGGTTCTTTTTTTTTTTTTCTTAATTAACTCCATTAAAAAATATTTATTGATTTATTTGCTTTATTTTTGACTGTGCTGGGTCTTCGTTGCTATTCACAGGCTTTTTCTGGTTGAGATGGGTGGGGGCTATTCTCAATCCCAGGATTGCAGTGGCTTCTCTTGTTGGAGAGCATAGGCTCTAGGCATCCGGGTTTCAGTAGTCGTGGTGTATAATAGGCTTAGTTGCCCCACAGCCTGTGGGATCTTTCTGGACCGGGTATCCTATCCATGCCCCCTGCACTGGCAAGTGATTCTTGACCCCTGGACCCCAGGGGCTTCCCTTGATGCTTGCCTGGGAGACACGACAAACGCTGTAAAATGAGATAATGCAGGGTCCTAGTGGATCCCATACTTTTCAGCATAAGGTCCTTGCCTGATTCTCTGCCAAGAACTCATGTTTTGAAAGCTTTCTTATCTATCAAGCTGTGTGTATTAAATAATAATTATTATTTCTATGCCATAACCAGTGTTGCTATACTGAGTTGGCCTAACTCTAGCAAACATTTGGTGTTTAGAGGATCCTATGTAGCGTTCCTTCAGGGTTTTGTCTTTTTGTTTTTTAGGGTTTTGTCTTTAAAAAAAAAAATCTATTTATTTATTTATTTTTGGCTGGACTGGGTCTTCGTTGCTGCGCTGGCTTTTCCCCAGCTGCAGGGAGGGGGCTGTTCCTGGCTGCAATGCTCAGGCTTCTTATTGCTGTGGCGCGCAGGCTCTAAAGCGCAGGCTCAATAGCTGTGGCACTCTGGCTTAGTTGCCCCACAGCAAGTGGAATTTTCCTGGACTAGGGACTGAACCCATGTTCCCTGCATTGGCAGGCGGATTCTTATCCACTGTGTCACCAGGGAAGTCCCCTTCAGGGTTTTAAATACTAAACGAGGTTACTGATGCCCATCTCTTCCTAAAGGCCCCTAGCTGGAAAACAAACTTAATGTAATTAGGAGTTAAATGGTGGCCTGTGTTAGGGGTGCAGAATTACTTTGGTCTTCCTAAACAGGGGGGACCAGCCACCCAGTTTGCCTGGGATTGAGGGGCTTCCCAGGATGTGAGACTTCTGATTTTAAAACCTCAAAGGAGGTAACTCTTTTAAGTCGCACATCTTTTTTGCTCTAATTCAGCCATTTACATGGGACTTTTAATTTAGTATCTGTTTCCCCGCTTTTGTAAACAGAATCGACTGAAGATAGGAATTTCATTTCAGTGTGGTCATTTATGTTTTGACTTCTTTCCGGTTCTGTTCAGGTTTGTTAAAGCCGCTCTGTTGAACAGCTCCGCTCCTTGACGTTTACTGTGGTTTTCCTAGTTTCTTCTTTTCCGACACTGTTCCCTGTCATGTCTCACTGCCTTAACTCTGCATATCTCTATGAACTTTCCTCTCCATTGCTGCCTGGGGTTAATTGCATACTATATGTCAAGTAACAGTAAACCGGAGCCAAGCGAGTCTTTGGGAGGCTTTTCTAACAGTGAAATGGATCAGTGTTGCTGTGTTATTTTAGTGGCTCCACTACTTCCTCTGACTTACTTCCTGATCCTCAACTGCAGTTGTCAGATCTGTGACCACAAGATAATGGAGATATTGCTACCAATGATGTCCTTAGATCTGTACTCTGTGGTCTCCCCAACTCTGTTAGCATTCTTTTATATACAGTTTTATAATGTGAAACATAAGTAGATTACAAATGAACATTTCTGTGTCAGCTGTCTGTTTGGGATAAGGTGTTTTTGATTCAGTGTTACTGTGATTTAGAGCTACAAATTAGTTGTATCCCTCTGAAATTTGATCCTGTCATCCTTCTGAAATAAAGGTGTCACAACTAAAAAGAAAAAAATAAAAAAAAATAAAAATAAAAATAAAATTTAAAAAATAAAAAAAATTTTAAAAAATTAAAAAAAAAAAAAAAAATAAAACCTCAAAGGTCCTAGAGGCTTCCCTGGTGGTCCAGTGGTTAGGACTCCACTGCAAAGGGCACAGGTTCAATTCCCTGGTTGGGGAACTAAGATCCCACATATTGTGAGGTGTGGCCAAAAAAATAAATAAGATAAAATAGTTTTATTTTCGGTTTTTTAAAGAACCTCCATAATGATCTCCATAATGGCTGCATCAATTTACATTCCCACCTACAGTGCAAGAGAATTCCCTTTTCTCCACTTCCTTTCCAGCCTTTATTGTTTGTAGATTTCTTGATGATGGTCATTCTAACCAGTGTGAGGTGATACCTCACTGAAGTTTTGATCTACATTTCTTTAATAATTAGTGATGTTGATCATCTTTTCACATGCTTCTTGACCTAGATGGGTGGAATGGGTGGGTGCAACGGAGGTCCAAGAAAGAGGAAATACCTGTGTATATATATGTAGCTGATTGACGTCATTGTACAGCAGAAACTAGCATGACACTGTAAAGCAGCAACTATTCACCAATAAAATAAATTAATTAAAATAAAATAAGATCATGAAGGTCCTGGGCAAACAGGGGTGAGCTGGTGTAAGTATTCTCAGAGACTGAAGTCAGAAAGCCTGGGAGAGATCATTGGAAGTCTGGCAATCATTTGGCCTCTGGAAGAGGCCAATCATTTGCATGTTTGGGAGACGGTGTGATCATGTGGGGAAGTAATGGGGGAAGATTATAAGCAGAGCCATTGTAATGAACGGGCAAAGGGGTTCAACGTTGCTGATGCAGACACTTTAGGAGCATGACTTCTCCCCTTCTGCGGTGTTGTCTTAGAATGTGAGATGAGACATGTCTGGACTCATCAACCTTAACTCCAACACTCTGTAATTTAGTCTCTGACAACATGCTCCTGTTTGGCCCTCAGTTTCATGGGTGCTTGTTAGTCTCCAGTAGACTGCATCTCTTCAAGAGCATGAACCAGGTGGTCTCTGTTTCACATTGCTGCCGAGTCCAGCACAGCTGCATGGTCAGTATTACTTAATAAATATTCACTGATCTGACTTGGCTAAAAGATTTTCCAATAGGAGGGGAAGGATCCGATTGAATCACAAGATATACTTTTCTACCAAATACCCATGGACCTTCAAGTACACATAGCTTTTGTCTCCCACTCCAGATGACCAAATAGGACCCAGCTATGGCAAAGATCAAATCAGGTTGTTGCATATGGAGAATCCAAAAGTAGGGTCTAGGGATCAGTTCTCAGTCCAGGGCATTGGGTTACATGCTCAGCCCTGACTCCAGTGGGCAGGATGTTGAGCTTTAAGCAGGAAATGTGGGCACCCAGCCTTCTGTGCATCATGTGGTGCATCAGTTTATGTTTGTTTGGTTTCTCAGTCTTCATGTCAATTATAATGCAACCCTAATTAAGGAAGAGGATTAGAAAAGCAGCTCTGAAAACAGGAAGCAGTGATCATTCTTTATTAAAACATGAGCATAATGGCTCATGTCTGTTATATCATGAGCCCATCTACTGGTGGCCAAACCATCAAAGGCCATTTGCTAACTGGGGGATTCTTACTATTCTCTTTGCCCAGTGTTTGCCTTTTCTGGTACCTATACTCTGCTTTTTGTGGCCCGAACTCTTCAAGGCATTGGATCTTCATTTTCATCTGTTGCAGGTAATGCTGACATCTTAAACACACACTCATTTCTTACCATCTCTTATTATTAATACCTTCAGACCCTGTAAAATTTATATGAAGAAATTAAGGAAACTGTTATCAGAAAATGCAGAAATTGTGATTCAAAACCAAGATAATTATAGAGTTGCTGGCAGGGCCTGTAAATCCCTAAGCCTGATGTAACTTTCTCTGGTAATATTTAGGTGGAGTTAGCTTAGGTCAGACCAAGCCCAAGGCAAAAAGGTGTAGTCGGCAAGGATTTAATTTAATGCCACTCTGTGGTCTTTTCTCTGTCCCCCTCTTAATGTTTTATAGAAACAGTAATATTGATACTATTGGGAACAACATCCCAGTTTGCAAAGTATTATCAAATACATGACTTCATGTAATCCTATGAAGTAGAGATTTTATGCCATCTTACATGTAAGTAAATGGAAGTAAGAGCCCAGCCCACACTCTCCCAGGTGCTTTCATCCTCTTCCATGGGCACCTTCATCGAATAGAGCAGTGTTCTGTGTCCAAGGGTTTTCCTTCCCTTGACCTACTCCCTATCCATGGATTCAGGGAAATGTACCAGGAAATGATAAAGTGATATGAAATACAGGCTCATTGGATAATGGTATTCTGCATTCAGAGACTTTTGCACTTCCGGTAATATTTTGAGCAGAAGGGGTGAATCATGTGGGCATTTGGGGGACCTTGGGGACAGTGTGTGTAAAATACTACGAGTTAGGTTCCATAAAAGCCTTCCAATTGAAACTCTAGTTAAGATGACTCCTGGAGATATAACAGGGCCGAGACCAAGGACTCAGTGAGAGTGGCAGAGACAGCATGCTAATTCTGCCTGCCTTTCTCCTTTCAGGTCTTGGGATGCTGCCCTGTGTCTACACTGATGACAATGAGAAAGGGCGGGCCATGGGAATTGCTTTGGGGGGCCTGGCCTTGGGAGTGCTGGGTGAGTGGCACCTGGGAGATATTTCCAGAAGGCAGGTATTTCTAAAATCTTGGAAAACAGTATTTTCCTTCCTTCTCTGTCCAACCATGTTTTGATTCCTTCTGAAATTCTGCCCAGGAAAAGCAGAATCTCTTTCCCTTTAAGAAGCTGAATAACCCATAAGGGGCTGGGAATGGTCCAGACACCTAGTCTACTCAAGGAAGTGAATCTTCACATGTTAGCAGCTGCTGCCTCATCTCTGCTTCCATCCATGGCCAGTGCTTTCAACTGGGGGCCATGCTATTTGCCAGATTTTGTGCTAAATATATACAAAATCTTTTTTAAATCCTCACCACCCCGGTGTGAAGGGGGAATGATTGTCCCCATTACACAGATGAGGATTAAAAAGGTTCACAGCCATCCAAGGTCACATGGCCAAGAAATGCCAGAGCCAGAATATGGACTCAGATTTTCTAGGCTCGAATCCCAAGCTCCAAATCCTAAGGTTATACTTTCTTTGAGGTTCATTCGAAATCTAGTTTAATCTATTAGTCCAACAAGTCACACACTTTCACTGAGTACATATTATGTACACTGTTTTGTTGCTCAGTCTCCAAGTTGTGTCCAACTCTCTGACCCCATGGACTGCAGCATGCCAGGTTTCCCTGTCCTTTGCTATCTCCCTGAGTTTACTCAAACTCATGCCCATTGAGTCAGTGATACCATCCAACCGTCTCATCCTCTGTCACCCCTTTTCTTGCCCTCAGTCTTTCCTAGGGCATTATGTACATGCCAAGTACAATGCTGACACAAAGGGCATATAGCTCAGAAGTCTCAGATGTGGTTCCTACCATCTAAGCGTTTGCAAGCTAATTGAGAAGAAGTCACCAAGCATCTCTCCCCTGCCCCTACTCTTTACCCCCATGGCGAGGAGAGGGAACCAAGGTTCTACTTTGTGTTAGTATCCACTTCCCCAAACACCCAGGCTGAAACTTGGGTGCCTCCTTGTCTCCTTCATCACCTTTCACTCCCAAGTGAATAAGCCCACTATATCATCCTTGCTCAAGGCCGGTTCCTCTTCACATCTCATTTAGAACATGGCATCGGCTGCCTGCCTGATCTGTATGTGGCCTCCTTCCTCCAAGGTGCCTCCAGTAGAAGCTTCCTATGCCCAGAGCTTGTGGTCCTCCCCCACCAGAAAAGCACTGGGTGCTTCTCTCTTGCCCACAAGACCAAATACATGCTTTATTCACATACACGGAGCCCTCGACTATTCAGTCTCAACCTTCCCCCATCTCCTATCTCCCAAACACTCCTATTTTAGTAACAAGGTGGTTGTTGTTTAGTTGCTAAGTTGTGTCTGACGCTTTGTGACCCCATAAATTGTAGCCTACAAGGCTCCTCTGTCCATGGGATTCTCCAGGCAAGTATACTGGAGTGGGTTGAATTTCCTTCGCCAGGGGAATCTTCCTGACTCAAGTAATGAACCCACATCTCCTGCATTGGCAGTTGGATTCTTTGCTGAGCCACCAGAAGTTCCCACTCTGCTGGTCTCCCAAATACTCCTATTCTAGTGACAGGGACTTTCTTACATTGCTTCTTGATCCACACTCCTCTTTTTCTGACACCTCTGTGTTCTTCACACATGCTTTGTGCCCACCTGAGTTAACTACTTGACAAAGCCCCTCTGGCCACTTGAACTCACCCTACTGTGATTACATGGGCTTCCCAGGTGGCGCTAGTGGTAAACAACCCACTTGCAATGCAGGAGATGTGGATTTGATCCCTGGGTTGGGACGATCGCCTGGAGAAGGAAATACAACCCATTCCAGTGTTCTTGCCTGGAGAATCCCATGGATAGAGGAGCCTGTTGGGCTACAGTCCATCGAGTCACAAACAGTCAGACATGACTGAAGCAACTGAGCACATATGCAGTATGATTACTTAGCACTTTGCAGATGGACACTTTACTTTTCTTTCCCCTCTTTTTTAAATTTTTAATTATTATTGTTATTATTTTTATTATTGGAGTATAATTTCTTTACATGGAACCTTTACTTTCATCATGTTCTAATTATTTGGGTTCCCCCCCCACCCCACGCCTACTCACACATTTCTTCCACTAGAAACTGAACGCCTTGGAAGCAAGTCTTCTTCATCTCTGAATCCTCAGAGGCTTATGTTCTCCTGCAGTGCTCAGCCCCTTGCAGGCCCTCATGAAGTGCTCACTGGATGAACGTGAATGAGTCATGCTCCCTGGGAACTGGTCCTCACCTCTGGAATCCTTGGCTGTTTTCCTTTTCAGTAGGGGCTCCCTTTGGAAGTGTGACATATGGGTTTTTGGGGAGGACTGTACCCTTCCTCATCTTGGCCTTCCTGGCTCTTCTGGATGGAAGTGAGTCACCATAAGAGGCACCAAACAGGTGAGAGTCCCAGTCAGGTTGGAAATGGATTATGCTGTGGTGTCCAGGTAGACATGTCTGGGTGGATCGGGGGCTGACCCATTGTAAGAAAGAGGGAAGAAGCTCAGGGAATTAGATTTGTAAGGAGCAGAGTGCTGACCATGTGACCAGCACTGGATCTTCCAGCTAGTAAGTGGACACGCTGAACTCCTTCTCTCTCCCTCTTCCTTTCTTAGCACTCCAGCTCTGCATCCTACAGCCTTCTAAAGTCTCTCCTGAGGTGAGTGAACATCAAGCTCCATCGCCGACAGAGAGAGAATGGCTGAGTGCAGTGACCCAGGCTTGCCCGGGCCATCCCTATCAAGCCACAAGGAGAAAAGGAAGTGTGGCTGGAGAAAGCTAGAACCATCCTGGGTTCCCAAGAGGGTCATGTTTAGGGTCATGTGGGGGAAGGGGACGAAGTCTGGCTTGATGTTGGACCAAGATGGAGGAAGGGCCTGATAAAGAGCCGAAGAACCTTACTGAGTCATATGAAATTGAGAACCAGGATGACAATGACATTGGGACCTGAGTATTTATAGTTATAACATCTTGACATCTCAGAGCTAAAGAAGACGAAGACCTTGGAGGCCATCCAAACAACATTTCCTCGCAGAGCAGCCTTACAGACTGTTATTCTGTAGCAGTTAAATATCAGAGTTGGTCTTTGTCTGACTCTAAGACAGAGATGGTGCTGAGAAATTCATATCAGACCATGAAAATAGATAAGAAAGTACAGACAATATGGGAAAGTTTGATCCAAAGACCTTGATTTTTGTAGCCACGTCAGACAGTGCTGTTGGTATGCTTTGGGCATGCTGCTTGTGATTGGTGTCTGTAGTGGGGTTCAGTCTGTGGGGTCTACACTGTGAAAGTGAAGGTGTTAGTTGCTCAGTCATGTCCAACTCTTTCCAACACCCTAGACTGTAGACTGCTGGAGTCCTCTCTCCATGGAATTCCCCAGGAAAGAATACTGGAATGGGTTTCCATTCCTTTCTCTAGGGATCTTCTTGACCCATGGTTTGAACCTGGGTTTCCTGCATTGCAGGCGAGTAATTAGTGTCAGAATTGAATTGATTTGCTAGGACACTCAGTTATTCCTTGGAATATTCCTTGGTGTGAAAGCTGCACCCCTGTGGTATCAAAAGTGTGACTAGAGAAATGATTTCCTTTTAATACTTTTTTGAATAATTTTGATTTTTGAATGGTAATGTTCTACATATTAAAAAAAAGTGGTTCCTTTTCTGGCTGGCATACTGTTTTATGCATACCATGTTTTATGCTATCTTCTCTGTTTGAGCATTTCAGTAATTTCCAGTATTTTGCAGATATGAATAATGCTGCAATTAATAATCTTGTGAGAGTGAAAGTCATTCAGTCGTGTCTGACTCTTTGCAACCCCATGGACTATACAGTCCATGGAATTCTCCAGGCTAGAATACTGGAGTGGGTAGCCTTTCCCTCCTCCAGGAGATCTTCCCAACTCAGGGATCGAACCCATGTATCCCGCATTGCAGGTAGATTCTTTATCAGCTGAGCCACAAGGGAAGCCAAGAATACTGGAGTGGGTAGCCTATCCCTTCTCCAGTGGATCTTCCCAACCCAGGAATCAAACTGGGATCTCCTGCGTTGCAAGCTGATTCTTTACCAACTGAGCTATCAGAGAAGCCCGATAATCTTGTATATATGCATTTTTCTAAAATTGGAGGTAATCTTTAAATTTCAAAAAGTAAGATTGTTGAGTCAAAAGGTTTATTGAACTTCTTTAGGTACATTTTATGATTTAGATCTGCCTCTTTACTTTGAATTATATATGGGAGAGGGCATAATCTTTTTAGTTGTAGTATCTCTGAATATTATAATCCATCCCTGTGTGTTCCAACTCTTTCCAACACCCTAGACTGTAGACTGCTGGAGTCCTCTCTCCATGGAATTCCCCAGGAAAGAATACTGGAATGGGTTTCCATTCCTTTCTCTAGGGATCTTCTTGACCCATGGTTTGAACCTGGGTTTCCTGCATTGCAGGCGAGTAATTAGTGTCAGAATTGAATTGATTTGCTAGGACACTCAGTTATTCCTTGGAATATTCCTTGGTGTGAAAGCTGCACCCCTGTGGTATCAAAAGTGTGACTAGAGAAATTATTTCCTTTTAATACTTTTTTGAATAATTTTGATTTTTGAATGGTAATGTTCTACATATTAAAAAAAAGTGGTTCCTTTTCTGGCTGGCATACTGTTTTATGCATACCATGTTTTATGCTATCTTCTCTGTTTGAGCATTTCAGTAATTTCCAGTATTTTGCAGATATGAATAATGCTGCAATTAATAATCTTGTGAGAGTGAAAGTCATTCAGTCGTGTCTGACTCTTTGCAACCCCATGGACTATACAGTCCATGGAATTCTCCAGGCTAGAATACTGGAGTGGGTAGCCTTTCCCTCCTCCAGGAGATCTTCCCAACTCAGGGATCGAACCCATGTATCCCGCATTGCAGGTAGATTCTTTATCAGCTGAGCCACAAGGGAAGCCAAGAATACTGGAGTGGGTAGCCTATCCCTTCTCCAGTGGATCTTCCCAACCCAGGAATCAAACTGGGATCTCCTGCGTTGCAAGCTGATTCTTTACCAACTGAGCTATCAGAGAAGCCCAATAATCTTGTATATATGCATTTTTCTAAAATTGGAGGTAATCTTTAGAGTAAATTTCAAAAAGTAAGATTGTTGAGTCAAAAGGTTTATTGAACTTCTTTAGGTACATTTTATGATTTAGATCTGCCTCTTTACTTTGAATTATATATGGGAGAGGGCATGATCTTTTTAGTTGTAGTATCTCTGAATATTATAATCCATCCCTGTGTGTATGCAGAGAGGGTTATCATATCAAAAGTATTAAACCTATTTATCAAGTCAACCATTAAGCTATTTTAAAAAATTGCATTGGAGTGTAGTTGATTTACAATGTTGTGTTAGTTTCAGGTGTTCAGTGAAGTGAATCAGTTATACATACATATATCCGCTCATTTTTAGATTCTTCTCCCATGTACTGAGTGGACTTTCCTGTGTCTACAGTAGGTCCTATTATTAGTGATCTGTTTTATATGTAGTACTGTATACATTTCAATCTCAATCCCCCAGTTTATTTCTCCCCCACCCCTTACACCCTGATGACCATAAGTTTGTTTTCTGCATCTGTAACTGTATTTCTGTTTTGTAGATAGCTTCATTTGTACCCTTTTTAGATTCTACATGTGAGTGGTATCATGTGGCATTTGTCTTTCTCTTTCTGACTTCACTTAGTCTGACAGTCTCTAGGTCCATCCAGATTGCCACAAATGGCATCTTTTCATCCCTTTTTATGGCTGAGTAATGTTCCATTGTGTGTATATGTACCACATCTTCTTTATCCATTCCTCTTCTGATGGACATGTAGGTTAATTCCATGTCCTGGCCATTGTAAATAGTGCTACGATGAACACTGGAGTAAATAAACTACTAAATCAAGATAGAAAGTGGTAAATACCATGGGTTAGGACATAGTGCTTAGGAAGTTTAGGAGAGAAAAGTTCCAGCTGACAAAAACCACTACAATATTGTAAAGTAATTAGCCTCCAACTAATAAAAATAAATGAAAAAAAAATAAAGAACCAAAAAAAAAAAGTTCCAGCTACTGAGTTAGGGAACACTGTGAATGAGAAGGGGCCATTTAAGCTTGACTTTGATGAATGCCTGAGGTTTGGACCTATTGGAAGAAGGAGGAAGGGAGTTTAGGGAAAGGTAACCATAGTGACCAAGGGCTTGCTGGTATGCTTGGAGGGAAGGTAGATGACTAAATTTAGCTGGAACGGAGTATTTTGAAGGACAGGCAGTGTCATAATTGGACATTCAGGCTGACATTTTAATTTGCATGTTCAGGCTTCTGTGGGAATGCCAGTCTAGTATGGCGCACACCATCAGAACGAAGCATTCAGAAAGCCTGGGTGGCACTGTGAGTTGTCGCCTCTGGGCTCACCTCTGGAACCCGGTGCTCTACTTGCCGTTCTCCCTGGATAAATGTCAGTGCTGTGGAGATCGAGTGCAGGGCCAGGCATCCAGAAACCTGTTGTCCAGTGGCAGCCTTGCTGACAACCCATTCTGATCTGGTTGTTGGTCATTTGAAGGCAGGACTTATGTCTGGAATGTGTTGTCCCACCCTTTGTGTCTGCCTTGTACATGGGGGCCATGTGGCTGCCACCAGCTCACTCTGTGACACTTTGTACATCACTTCTCCTTCTGTGGCCTGTGGGTGGCTGACCTCTGCAGTAAGGGAGCTGATGTAGGTGGTCTCTAAGGTCCTGCCTGCATGCTCTCAGATCCCGTGGAACAGGAGGATGAATGATCATCTATATCATTCTGTATAGATGAAGTATTTTGTTGTCCATGTTCTCAGAGTGCCAAGGGGACTCCACTCCTCACGCGTCTCAGAGACCCTCATATCCTGGTGGCTGCAGGTAAGCTGACATTGCCTCCTTTTGGGAGGGAGGGTCTGAGCTTCAGGATGCCTCGGGGGCTCACTGGACTGTCTTCGCAGGCTCCATCTGCTTTGCCAACATGGGGGCGGCCACGCTGGAGCCTGCACTGCCTATCTGGATGCTGCAGACCCTGTGTGTCCCTGAGTTGCAGCTAGGTAAGTGACCTCAGTCCTCAGCATGAGTTTTGGCAGGGGTATGGGCCAGGGACCCTTTCTGAGGTCATCAGTAAACAGCATCAGGGCCAGATCTTGAGAGTCATAGAGGGGCAGCGTTCTTCCTTCATCAAATTACCTCTCCTGTCTGCAACTGTGAATCTAGCCTGATTGGGTTGGCAGTTCCTTCAAGAAGCAGTCCCCAGTACACAGAGCTGGGGGGCTCGACGGGGGTTATGGAGGGGTAACTCGCCTAGCTGTGTGGATGAGTGACTGCTCGTCAAATGACCTTGGCTTTTCCTCTCTGCTCCGTTAATTTGCTATGCCAACTTGTGCAAATCACATCAGCTTTCTGAGCTTCACTTTCCTATCACTAAAATGGCTATCAGAGTACTAAGAATTCAGAGGGTGAATCTGACCCTGATGCTGGGAAAGATTGCAGGCAAAAGGAGAAGAGGGTGGCAGAGGATGTGATGGTTGGATGGCATCACTGACTCAATGGACATGAACGTGGGCAAACTCCAGGAGATAGTAAGGGACCAGGAGGTTTGGTGTGCTGCAGTCCATGGGGTCACAGAGTGGGACACAACTTAGCAACTGAAAACTGAGGAATAAGTGACATAATCTGTGAAAATGCTTTTTACCTGTAGAATATTAGCAAGTACCACCATCACCATCATTGATATTGAGCTTGCCAAAAAGTTCGTTTGGGTTTTTCTGTGTTATGGAAAAACCCAAATGGACTTTTTGACCAATCTTATAGTTTCATCTTTCCCACTCACTGTCTCCCAGATTACCCTTTTGCTATTTTTTTTTTTAACCTCTAGAAAAGTGCAAATGGAGTACACTGTACTGTAAGGGGGGCCTCCAGCCTCCTCTGCTCCACAGACAGATGTCCTCATGACTCATCTGAGGGAGGAGGCCCTGGATCTTTCCAGGAAGCCTAAGGAAAGGCAACAGAGAAGGTTATGTGCAAATCGCTCAGTCACTGCCAGGAGGAGAGCTTATGTGGCCAGAGGGGGAACTGGTAAGGACCTGATATAGCTTAATGTGCAATGACAAGCACGAAATCTAATTTTTTAGGGGACCATGCTAAGCAAGGTTTCCAGCTGCAGTCCTAGCGCCAAATTGGGTTTTTGCAAGCTGCAGCTACCTCTGACTATGACAGTTAATTGAGTTGGTGCTCAATGCAAATAAACATCCCCTGCCCCAAAACTCTAGACGCTTGGGCTCTTGGGCAGACAGGCCACCAACCATAGCTCAGAATGGGCCCTCCCCAGCCCTTCTTCACTCCATAGGAATATTAAAAGCAAACTAGCTATCAGTCAGTAACTGGTGAACTGCTGACTTCGGGTTTAGTTGTAATCACCCTGACAGTTTCTGTTAGGCTGCACTGTTTCTGCTCAGTGTACAGAGAAACACAGAGAGAGGCTGGCAAGACCCAGTGAAGTTCACAGGCTTGATGTCAGACAGTGCCTTGTGCAGGCAAGGCTGCAGTAGAAAGCCCACAGGAGAGTGAGTGGGAGACTGAGATGGTCTTGTCCTCCACCATCGCTGACAACTTTCTTCAGTGCCCTCTGCATCTGTAAGTCTAAATACAGAGGTTCTCAGCTGGAGATTGTATTAAAGTTCAGATTGCAGTTCCCTTCCAACAATTCAGGAGAAACAAATTGCATTCCTGGTAAGCTTCCCGGTGATGCTGATACGGCGTCAGTGACCACACAGAAAAAGACTGCTCTCCACGCAGACCCCTCTCCAAGTTGTTTGGAGGAACAGTTTGTAGCCTGTGGCTGAACACTCTCCAAGTGGCCCGCTGTGTGCCCACTACTCACCCGGTGGAGGGAAAAGCGCAGGCTTTGGAAGTACACCCACCTGCGCTGAAATCCTGACTCGACCACTTACTGGGTGTGTCCTTCGATAAGTTACTTAATGTCTTCAAACTCCATTTTTTTTCATTTGTATAAATAGAGGCACTTTTCTGGTTGTTTTCAGGGTTAAATAGACTTATGTATTCTAAGGGCTTCCCAGGTGGTGCTAGTGGTGAAGACTCTGCCTGCCAATGCAGGAGACACAAAAGATTCTTCCATCTCTGGCTCAGGAAGACCCCCCTGGAGTAGGAAACAGCAACCCGCTCCAGTATTCTTGCCTTGAAAAGCCCATACACAGAGGAGTCTGGAAGGCTACAGTTCATGGGGCCACAAAGAGTCAGACACGACTTGGCACGCACACACACATATTCTAAAGGCATGGCACTTGGGATACAGTATATACTCAGGAAATAAAACCCAGTTCTATTTTCATCATTGTTTTTGTTGAAATCACTTTAGCAGTTACAGCTATGTGTAATCCCCAACCCTTGAAGATATGCTGTGAAATATAATATGTCTGGCAGACATAGAGTATGGAACACCTCATTTGCACAAAATGCTACTGAATTGCAAGTTACACTCAGATCCTGAAGAACAAGCCACGTTGACTGAGGAAAATCTCATTCAGGAAATGCCACATCACTTGAAATGATGTCAAGGAGATGGATCTAGCAGGCCTGTGGTCTTCCTGCTGATGCCCACTTCCAGATATGAGGTAAACAATTGCGTGGTGGTTGTTTAGTCGCTAAGTCATGTCTGACTTTTTGTGACCCCTGACTGTAAGCCGCCAGGCTTCTCTGTCTGTGGGATTTCCCAGGCAAGAATACTAGAGTGGGTTGCTATTTCCTTCTCCGGGGGATCTCTCTGATCCAGGGATCAAACCCAAATCTCCTGGATTGGCAGGCAGGTTCTTTACCACTGAGGTACCTGGGAAGCCTCAAACAATTGAGTGGCTATACCATTAACTTTTTTTTAAAGCAATGAAACAAATACATGGTTGCATGGTTACAGTTTGAGACAGATTGCGCCTGCACAGATAGACTAGACAAATATATTAAGGTGTGTGTCACCTCCAGCCCATAGAAGAGGATATTAAAAGCAAACAAGACATCAGCCAGTAACTGGTGAATTATTGACTTTTGGTTTATTTGTAATTATCATGACAGTTTCTATTAGACAGCACTGTTTCCTCTCCATATAGAGAGACAGAGGGAAGCTAGTAAGACTGAAGGAAACTCATCCTGCTGATGCCACACAGCTGTTTATGCCAGAGCCATCTGTGCTGCCACACTGCTGGTGTGGGTGGTGGAGGCACCTGCCGTCAGAGGGAGAAGGTCTGGTTTCAAGTCTTGAGCATGCTACCCACTGGTTATGGTGGTGCCAGTTAAGGATGATACTCAGGGGGGCACTTACTCTGTGCCAGGAGCCTTGCCAAACAGTTGTTTTACGTTAATGGTCACTTATGCCTGATAACTAGCCTGTCTGGTAGGAATTATTATTCCCATATTTCAGAGATTTCTTAATCTGAACCAATTTCCCACTGCCCTCCCAAATCCTGAGCCCCGTGGAAGTCTCTGCCACAGGCAAGTGTCCATATGCCCTCAGCCTCTTCTCCGAACACTTCTTTCATCTTCTTGCCCTAAGACCTGAATGTTTTCTGAGAACACCATTTTCCCACACTCCCCCTGATGGAAGTTCCGGGGCTTCCCTGGTGGTTTAGATGGTATTTTCAGGGTTAAATAGACTTATGTATTCTAAGGGCTTCCCAGGTGGTGCTAGTGGTGAAGACTCTGCCTGCCAATGCAGGAGACACAAAAGATTCTTCCATCTCTGGCTCAGGAAGACCCCCCTGGAGTAGGAAACAGCAACCCGCTCCAGTATTCTTGCCTTGAAAAGCCCATACACAGAGGAATCTGGAAGGCTACAGTTCATGGGGCCACAAAGAGTCAGACACGACTTGGCATGCACACACACATATTCTAAAGGCATGGCACTTGGGATACAGTATATACTCAGGAAATAAAACCCATTTCTATTTTCATCATTGTTTTTGTTGAAATCACTTTAGCAGTTACAGCTATGTATAATCCCCAACCCTTGAAGATATGCTGTGAAATATAATATGTCTGGTAGACATAGAGTATGGAACACCTCATTTGCACAAAATGCTACTGAATTGCAAGTTACACTCAGATCCTGAAGAACAAGCCACGTTGACTGAGGAAAATCTCATTCAGGAAATGCCACATCACTTGAAATGATGTCAAGGAGATGGATCTAGCAGGCCTGTGGTCTTCCTGCTGATGCCCACTTCCAGATATGAGGTAAACAATTGCGTGGTGGTTGTTTAGTCGCTAAGTCATGTCTGACTTTTTGTGACCCCTGACTGTAAGCCGCCAGGCTTCTCTGTCTGTGGGATTTCCCAGGCAAGAATACTAGAGTGGGTTGCTATTTCCTTCTCCGGGGGATCTCTCTGATCCAGGGATCAAACCCAAATCTCCTGGATTGGCAGGCAGGTTCTTTACCACTGAGGTACCTGGGAAGCCTCAAACAATTGAGTGGCTATACCATTAACTTTTTTTTAAAGCAATGAAACAAATACATGGTTGCATGGTTACAGTTTGAGACAGATTGCTCCTGCACAGATAGACTAGACAAATATATTAAGGTGTGTGTCACCTCCAGCCCATAGAAGAGGATATTAAAAGCAAACAAGACATCAGCCAGTAACTGGTGAATTATTGACTTTTGGTTTATTTGTAATTATCATGACAGTTTCTATTAGACAGCACTGTTTCCTCTCCATATAGAGAGACAGAGGGAAGCTAGTAAGACTGAAGGAAACTCATCCTGCTGATTCCACACAGCTGTTTATGCCAGAGCCATCTGTGCTGCCACACTGCTGGTGTGGGTGGTGGAGGCACCTGCCGTCAGAGGGAGAAGGTCTGGTTTCAAGTCTTGAGCGTGCTACCCACTGGTTATGGTGGTGCCAGTTAAGGATGATACTCAGGGGGGCACTTACTCTGTGCCAGGAGCCTTGCCAAACAGTTGTTTTACGTTAATGGTCACTTATGCCTGATAACTAGCCTGTCTGGTAGGAATTATTATTCCCATATTTCAGAGATTTCTTAATCTGAACCAATTTCCCACTGCCCTCCCAAATCCTGAGCCCCGTGGAAGTCTCTGCCACAGGCAAGTGTCCATATGCCCTCAGCCTCTTCTCCGAACACTTCTTTCATCTTCTTGCCCTAAGACCTGAATGTTTTCTGAGAACACCATTTTCCCACACTCCCCCTGATGGAAGTTCCGGGGCTTCCCTGGTGGTTTAGATGGTAAAGAATCCACCTGAAATGCAGGAAACCCAGGAAGATCCCCTGGAGAAGGGAATGGCAAACCCACTCCAGTATTCTTGCCTGGAGAATCTCAAGGACGGGGGAGCCTGGTGGGCTGCCGTCTATGGGGTCGCACAGAGCTGGACATGACTGAAGCGACTTAGCAGCAGTAGTAGCATAGCCCCATTTCATTGCTCAGGTGCAGGCAAGGAGTGGGCAACCAGACAGGCTTAACGAGACTTAAGGCCTCTCATGTGACAAGCCCAGAGGGAGAAGGAATGGGGCAAAGCCATTAAGAATGCTTTCAAAGGAGTGGCATTAATGATGGATGTGCATTCATCATATGAACTCCAAACTGAGTAAAGAAAGAAGTGCTGGGACTTCTCTGGTGGTCTGGAGATTAAAACTCTGTGTTTCTGATTCCAAGGATATGAGTTTTATCCCTAGCTCATGGGGGAGAACTAAGATCCCATATGAGTAGTGATGTAAACAGAGAAAGAACCAAATGGATTGCTGATCTCAGTGTAGCCAAAATGTATTAATATAAGGGTATTAGAAGACCTAATACCCTGGTGGTGTTGGAGAAGATTCTTGAGAGTCCCTTGGACTGCAAGGAGATCCAATCAATCCATCCTAAAGGAAATCAGTCCTGAATATTCATTGGAAGGACTGGTGTTGAAGCTGAAACTCCAATACTTTGGCCACCTGATGCAAGCAGCTGACTCATTTGAAAAGACCCTGATGCTGGGGAAGATTGAAGGTGGGGGGAGAAGGAGACGACAGAGGATGAGATGGTTGGATGGCATCACTGGCTCAATAGACATGAGTTTGAGTAAACTCTGGGAGTTGGTGATGGATAGGGAGGCCTGGCATGCTGCAGGCCATGGGGTCACAAAGAGTCAGACATGACTGAGAGACTAAACTGGTACTGATTAGAAGACCTGAGCAGAGAATATGGAAGGTGATAACCTGGAGTTGACATTTCAGAGATGTTTCAATTCATGTTGATTTCAAGGTCCATATTACAGAAACGCTTGATTGGTTATGGTGGAGAGGAGAAGATCATTGCAAGAAAGTAGATTAAGGAATAGGCCGAGATGTTGGTAGAGTTATCCACCTGGATACTGAAGTCACCAAGTGTGGTGACAGGAGTAAAGGTGAAAAGAACATGAACCAGATGTTGGTGGATTTAATGAACGAGAAGGAATACCCCAGGGGTCAGTATATAATTTCAATGAAGAGTGGTGGGGTGGTACAATCTGATGACATGATCTTCAGTGGAATCAGGGTCTTTTTTTCTTCGAGGCTGTACCAGGCAGCATGAACCAGTGGGATCTTGGTTCCCTGACCAAGGAACTATCTAACCTCTGCCCCACGGCTTTAGAAGCACAAAGTCTTAATCATTGGACCACAAGGGAAGTCCTGGTGAGAAGTGAGAAGTGAAAGTGAGAAGTGAAAGTGAAGTCACCCAGTCGTGTCCGACTCCGAGCGACCCCATGGACTGCAGCCCACCAGGCTCTTCTGCCCGTGGGATTTTCCAGGCAAGAAGACCGGAGTGGGGTGCCATTGCCTTCTCCAAAAATGGAGCTATAGGAAAACATACTTGGCTATTGGTCTCACCTTATATCGATGGCCATAAATCTAAAATTTAAAAAAAATGAAAAAATGAAAAATTTTTTTAAAAGACAGGAAAAAGAAAAAAAAAAAGGTACCAAAAAAAGGAAAAGGCCATAAATCTGAAGTGGACTTTCACACTATCACACTTAAATAATCTTTCTTTTAAGTCCCTAATTTCATTCTTCCTACTTTCTGAAAGGACTGGCTTACACTATTCTATTCAGACCTCCTCCACATTCTCATCCCTTTGCCTTCATAATTCTCAAACCCTAGTCATTCATTGAGGAAATCGAAGCAACAAAAAGGGACCTTGCATGTTCTCATCACTAGATATACTTACTTCTCTGGACCTGTGTGCACATCTTCTCTGTATGGTTGAAACGCTCCAACTCCTTCAGAGGCCAAATTTCCTTTTTATCTTCTTTCCTTTTCCTTTCCCTTCTGGATTCCATTTCCTCTCATCTACTTAATTGGCTCCATATCACCTTTGCTGTCACCTCCTCTTTTGTTGACTTTTAAAGAAGGAGCCCCTGAAGGCTCAGACCACAGATACACGTTCCCTTTCTGGTCTTTCATGGGTCATCCCAGCCATCCCCCTGGCTCTGAGAATTGAGTTGGTAGGGACCTCCTTGGTGGTCCGGACTTCCCTGGTGGCTCAGCCGGTCAAGCATCTGTCTACAATGCGGGAGACCCGGGTTCGATCCCTGGGTTGGGAAGATTCCCTGGAGAAAGCAATGGCAGCCCACTCCAGAACTCTTGCCTGGAAAACCCCATGGGCAGAGGAGCCTGGTGGGCTGCAGTCCATGGGGTCGTGAAGAGTCAGACACGACTGAGCGACTTCACTTTCACTTTTCACTTTCATGCGCTGGAGGAGGAAATGGCAACCCAGTCCAGTGTTCTTGCCTGGAGAATCCCAGGGATGGGGGAGCCTGGTGGGCTGCTGTCTATGGGGTCGCAGAGAGTCAGACACGACTGAAGAAACTTAGCAGCAGCAGCAGCAGTAGCAGCAGGAGATATAAGAGACTCGGGCTAGATTCCTGGGTTGGGAAGATCCCCTGTAGAAGGAAATAGCAACCCACTCCAGTATTCTTGCCTGGAAAATCCCATGGACAGAGGAGCCTGGTGGGCTACAGTCCGTGGGGTTGCAAAGAATCCGACCCAACTGAGTACACATACACAAACACAGGGAACTAGATCCCACAAGCTGCAACTAAAGATAGTGCATGCCGCAGCGAAGATTTCCCATGACAAAGCTAAGAGCTGACACAGACAAATACATAAATAAATGTTAAAAAAAATTAAAAAAAAACACTAATGCATAAACCAATTAGTTAAACCCTTTTATTTTTCATTAGAATCTCTCTTCAGAACTCTAGACTTGTCTATTCAGTAAGCCTTCCTATTTGCATTAGGTGTTTCTGTTTGTTTTTCTTGCTAAAAAAACCTTCTGTTTTGGTTATTCAGTTCCCAGTTTAAATACTACCTCCTCAAAGGAGTCTTCCCTAACCCCCTGAATCTAAGTTAGCCCTTATTCCTCGTCACTCTTCCATATCACCACATTAAACTTTCTTCACAGAACTTATCACTGTCAAAGTCATCTTTTTTCATTTATTTACTTACTTTATTGTCCATCTCTCTCCCTTGGAATGTAAGCTCCCTGGAGGCTAGGATTTTGTCTATTTTATTCACTCTTCTAATCCTGTTTCCTGGAATACCTGCTACATAATAAAAGCTCATTAAAAATGCTGAAAAAAATGAAAGAAAAAATAAGACTCAGAGAGGGTAAATTTCCCATGATCACAGAGTGGTTAAGCCACAGTTTGAAGCCAGCAGCAAAGCCCATGCTCCAGGGTACTTGACTCTATTCTCACAAAAAACAATGGGACAGGGCTCCAGTTTACAATATTCTTTTACATACACTTATTAATATCGGATTTGCTTCTTCATGTAATCTGATGTGATAGAATCAGAGCTTTGTGTTTACTGGATTTGGAAACCAAAGATCAGAAAGGTTTAGTAACTTATTCAGAGTCGCCATCAGAGGGAATTCCCTGGCAGTCCAGTGGTGAACCAGGACTCCATGCTTTCACTGCAGAGGGCATGGTTTCAATGCCTGGTGGGGGAACTAAGTTTCCACAAGCTGTGTGGTGTGGCCAAAAATAAAGGGCACTGTCAGAGCAATAGAAGAGCGGGTAGAAATTTTACTTCCCAAGAGGTATGTCTTTCTCTAAAGCTCATGCTCTTATGCTGATAATCACGGGTATTTTATACATGAGAATGGCTCAGCAGTCATTCATCAGGAAGTCTAAGAGGGGAGCTGGAGGGGGACGTGACATTAAATGTGTTTGTTCACTCGCTAAGTTGGTTTGACTCTTTGCAACCCCATGGACTGCAGCATGCCAGGCTTCACTATTTCCCGGAGTTTGCTCAGACTCATGTCCATTGAGTTGGTGGTGCCATCCAACCATCTCATCCTCTGTCATTCCCTTCTCCTCCTGCCCTCATTCTTTCCTAGCATCGGGGTTTCTTTCCAGTGAGTCAGTTCTTCACATCAGGTGGCCAGAGTATTGAAACTTCACCATCAGTACTTCCAATGAATATTCAGGGGGTTGATTTCCTTCAGGATTGATTGGTTTGATCTCCCTACAGTCCAAGGAACTTTCAAGAGTCTTCTCCAGTACCACAGTTTAATAGCATCAATTCTTCAGTGCTCAGCCTTCTTTATGGTCCAGGTCTCACATCTGTACATGACTACTGAAACAACCATAGCTTTGACTATATGGACCTTAGTCAGCAAAGTGATGTCTCTGCTTTTTAATACGCTGTCTAGGTTTGTCATAGCTTTTCTTCCAAGGAGCAAGTGTCTTTTAATTTCCTGGCTGAAGTCACTGTCTGCAGTGATTTTGGAGCCTGAGAAAATCTAAACAAAGCCCTGCTCTTGAGGACAGCAGAGGCATGGGAGCCCTATGTCATCTGCTCTGGGTTTGCACAGGGATGTCTAACCCACAAAACCATGGTTTGGGATCCTTGAAGGTAATGGGGAGACTTCACTGTCCTGTAAGACAAAAGGTGTTTCATAGTGGCCTAAGTGAGGCCCTGTGTCCTTCTGCAGGTCTAGCCTTCTTGCCCGCCAGCGTGTCCTACCTCACTGGCACCAGCCTGTTTGGCGTGCTGGCCAACAAGATGGGTCGGTATGTAGCCTGGGGATCTGGGAAAAGTCAGATGGGAGAGTCTTCTGAGGTGCTCCCTGCAGCTGGGATGATGGGTGATAGCTTGAGGTTGAAAATTTAGAACAAGTACCCGCAAATGCTTGTTCTAAGTGTAGGAGTGGATAGGTGGTGAGGGCAGTATAGAGAAAGGATTGGTTCTGAGCTTGTTGCTATGGAAGATAGAGTGAATATATGAGGGACAACCTTTACTTTCCAAATGTTTGTTGTCCAGTTGAAGAGATAAAATAACTCCACAGAGAACAGCTATGGAGAAAACAGTACCCAGAGGCAGCTGGTTGTCAAACTCTTTTCGTTGGAACCTCAGGGAGCTCTACAGAGGCCACCAAGTGGAAAAGGATTGGGGACCAAGAGGTATAAGTCTGAATTTCATTCCTCCAACTACAGTGAGAGCAGCTTTAATTTTACCTTTGGAGTGTGATATAAAGATTTGAAAAGTAATTTTAAAAACCATCTCCATAGGAAATCAGAGAAGAAAGGAAGTTTGGTATGTTTTGTGGTTTTTGAGGTGGACCCTGAAGACCAGATGGAATATGTATTGATGAGAGGTATAGGCTGAGTTGAACAACAGCAACATTAAGTCAGAGCATTATTCCCAAGGGGAAAGGACCTTCTGAGTCAACTGATTCCTCTTCTAAGGGAAGGAAGACTATGTCCCATTGCTCTTCATCTGCTTCTACTATGGGAAGAGGTGTGGGGCCAGGGAAGAGATGAGAGGTGAATAAGGGGCTGAGGAAAGGCTCACCTGAGTATACACTGGTCCTGTAGAGATGTGTTTATCTTCTCACATCCCGGTGGGTTCCTGGAATTAGGAGTAGTAGGACTGGCCAGTGAGCTGGTGATGCGGTAGCAAGTGGAAGGAATCTCCACCCTTAGCACTGTTTGAAAACTGCTGTTTGTTTTCCTTTTTTAGGTGGCTGTGCGCCCTGCTTGGGATGTTGGTAGTAGGTACCAGCTTGCTTTGTGTGAGTACAATAAGGTCTTTCGGGGAGAGTCAAAGGGTGGGGCGAGTGTCAGACACTTAAAGACAACTTCCCTTTGAAATGAGCAGAGGATTGACTTGGCAAGGACTGTCAGAAAAACTGTTTCTGTGTAGGTAGGAGTTTACCCCTGGGGGGGAGAGTCTATGCCATCCCACTGAAAGGAGGTCGGGAAGGAGAGGGAGAGGGAAGTGGGGGCAGCTGAAGACGGAAATCTGAAGCTTTATGGATGGCCATGTGAAGCAATGGGCTTCTCAGGTGGTGCTAGTGGTGAAGAACCTGCCTGCCAATGCAGGAGATGAGAGAGATGGGCATTCAATCCCTGGGTCAGGAAGATCTCCTGGAGGAGGAAGTGGCAACCCATTCCAGTATTCTTGCCTGTAGAATCTCATGGATGGAGGAGCCTGGTGGGCTACAGTCCACAGAGTCATACAGAGTCAGACACGACTGAAGGGACTTAGCGTGCACACACGTGAAGCAGTACATGTTGGTATCTATTTTGGGGGTCTGTAGAATGGTGCATTTTATGCCTTCACTCACATACCTCACAGTGACAGGATCCCAGAAGCCACCAGAGGAACCATTATCTGTGCTTCCATCTCTAGCACCAGAGTGTTTGGTAGAGGAAGAAAGAAAGAAGGGCTTTTCCATTTTCAGGCGTCCCCTCCAAGCTCTCTAAACCTACATTTTCTCCTGTCCAGCATGGAGATCAGAAGCACCTTTGCCTCCTAAGCTTGAGGGGAAATGAGATGGCAGCAAAGCCCTGAGTACAGTGCTCAAGAAAGGCAGGAAATCCTAATTCGGGGCTGGGTCCAATCCCAGTTTGGCCATTTGCTGCTTGTGTGACTCTGAGTTCATTACATCACCTCCCTTGGCTCAGCATCCACATCTGTGTAGAGAGGATTCTGATGCCATCTCAAAGGATTACCCAGACCAAAACTGCAGTGGCGTCTTGCTCATAGGGATCCCACTGTGAATCTTAACCAGTACTAGTAATAAAATAGAAATATCCCCCATGAGCTTCCCTGGTGGCTCAATGATAAAGAATCCTCCTGCCAATGCAGGAGACGTGCGTTCGATCTCTGGTCTGAGAAGATCCCATATGCTGTGGAGCAGCTAAGCCCGTGTGCCACAACTATGGAAGCCTGCGTGCTTAGAGCCTGTGCTCCGCAACAAGAGAAGCCACTTCAGGGAGCAGCCCACACACGGCAATGAAGACTAGCCACTGCTCAGTTAACTAGAGGGAAAAAAAGTCCACGTGGCAACAAAGACCTAGCACATCAATAAATGAGTAAAATTTAAAATGAAACAATTAAATAAAAAAAATTCATTCCTAAGGCCCTGTTTTTAGCTAGTGACATCTAAATGGTATGTAAAACCTCTCAGGGGTGAAGTGAGTATGCTAGTGTAGGAAATACAGGAGACAGATGCCCAGGGATGGAGGCAAGGACCCAGCAAAAGAGGAAAACAAGGCTTCTCTTGGGGATCAGGAGGGTAAGAGAGTGAATGTCACAAGCCGCTGAAGCAGCCACACAAACCACGCCACCTGCCCCTCTAGCTTGTGGGTAATTGGTTGTTGGAGACTCTTTGTCTTCTTGCTCCACTGGCTTCAAGTCAGGGTTTTACTAAAACCTCTTTATGTGTCTCTACTTCTGCCTCGCAAATAGATTCATCTGTCCCATTTTTCTAGATTCCACATATATGCATTAATATACAGTATTTGTTTTTCTCTTTCTGACTTACTTCACTCTGTATGACAGACTCTAGGTCCAGAGACGCAGACACAGACAAGGATGGGGATGGGGGGAAGGGAAGATGGGATGAATTAGGAGATTGGAATTGACATATATACTCTACTGTGTGTAAAATAGCTAGCTAGTGAGAAGCTCCTGTATAGCACAGGGAACTCAGCTTGGTGCTCTATGATGATCTAGAGGTGTGGGATGGGGAGGAGGAAGGAGGGAGGAGCAAGAGAGAGAGGATGTATGTGCACATGGCTGATTCAGTTCATTGTGCAGAAGAAACTAACACAACATTGTAAAGCAACTACACACCAATTACAAAAAAGACATAAAAAATAAAAAATAACAACAACAGCACCTGTGGATGATAGCAGATAGAAAAGAGAGGAAACTCCACTCTAGGTAGAATGAGGACAGAAGTGTGTGTCTGGGTGGAGGGGGCAGAGGAAGGGGAGGGAGAGTCCATGGACCATTCATTGCTGTGGCTCCAGAGTCAAATCTGAGGTTCACACTTGATCTCACTGCTTATGTTCTGAAACTCTTGATGGAACATTGAACCCAAATGGCACCAGTTTAGATTTCATCTCTGTAAATGGAGGTAAAGATTCTTTTTCATCAGAGTATAAGAATCCAAAGAGATAACTCATGTGGCACATAGTACCTGGTTGATAAATGCATTTCATAAGAAAACCCTTTGCTTATGTGCTGTCCAACCTGATCCTTCCCACACCACCCCCTGCCCCGGATTCCTGATAATACTTCCTCCTTTCCTCCTGCAGGTTCCTCTGGCTCATGATATTTTTGGTCTCATTGGCCCTAATGCAGGGCTTGGCATTTCCATAGGCAAGAAGTACCCTTAATGGAGACTGGAAGCTGCTGAATGTCGGCTCGGGGCCAGATCGGAGGGGGTATACGGAAGGGCAGGGGGGATAGGAGAGCAGCCGGCAGGGGTGTTGAGAGACAGGCTCATGACTCCTGGTGGGCATGGGTGTCGGTGATGAGGGAGGACAGACAGATGGCAGAGACAGTGGGGTAAAGTGGGGAGGGGAGGAGGGGCATGTTACAGACAGGGAATGGGGCTGTGGGTAGGACTGACGGCGGTGCCCTACCTGCTCTGACCCCAGGCATGGTGGATTCTTCTGTGATGCCCGTCGTGGGACACTTGGTGGACCTGCACCATGCCCCGGTCTATCGCAGTGTCTGTGCCATCGCTGATGTGGCTTTTTGCACGGGCTTTGCAATAGGCATGTTGGCAGAGAGACAGAAGAGCACCAGGACCTGGTAACCCAAATCTCCCTTTATGGATGGTTTACCTGCCAGAAGTGGAGCCAAGAGGCTGATCCTCCTAGGGTTCTGAGATATTTGGCCCTGGGGTATCCTCTGGGTCACCTTTGGCCCCTAGCATGGTGTCCTCCAAGCGATCAAGAATCAGTAGATGCTTGCAGATTTGCTTTATTCCTCACAGGTCGGTCCACCGGGGGTGCCATTGTGAGGGCCATTGGCTTCCCCTGGCTCATGGTCATCATTGGGGTCACTGACATCATCTACGCTCCTGTCTGCTACTACTTGAGGAGCCCCCCTGCCAAGGAGGAAAAGCTCGTAAGGGACTCTAACTACTGCTGAAAAAATAATTTGTTTCTTTCATGTCTCTCTCGTTCCTTTTCATCCTGTGCTTCTTTTTCTTATATATTTGTTTTTATTTATTTATTTGGCTGTGCTAGGTCTTAGTTGTGGCATGCGGGACCTTAGTTGGGGCATATGGAATCTAGTTCCCTGACCAGGGATCAAACCCAGGCCCCCTACTTTGGGAGCACCAAGTCTTAACCACTGGACCGCCTGGGAAATACCTATCTTGTGCTCCTATTTCCTCCCTCTTTGATAGGCTCTCTGCTCTGCCATGTTTTCTGATTCCCCTTTCATCTCTATCTTTCCTTTGTCCCCCTCCTTACTTTTTCCTTTTCTGCACAACCACTTTCTCTCTTATGCTGGTCAGTTAGGAAGGGTCCTAAGTACAGAAGGAAAATGGGAGGCCTGTAATGCGCTGGGGTCAAGGACCATCAAAGGCATCCTGCACTTGCAGTACTTCCTAGCAAAGTGTGAATTACCAAATCATGCCCACAACACGGACAGAATTCCACTGGGCATATTCATGCATTCATTCTTTCACTCACATCTGTCATTATCCTTATCAGGTCTTTTCCTAAAGTACCAACAGCCCAGGGGAGAGAACCACAGCAGATTATTTTAGTTAATAGATACTTTCTTCTAACTGTAGCAGGAGTACCTTGAGGGTCTGGGTGGGTTGGGGGCAGATGTGTGTGCTGCATGCTAAGTCACTTCAGTTGTGTCTGACTCTTTGCAACCCATGGACTTTAGCCTGCCAGGCTCCTCTGTCCATGGGATTTTCCAGGCAAGAATACTGGAGTGTGTTGCCATCCCGTCCTCCAGGGGATCTTCCTGACCCACGGATTGAACCCGCGTCTCTTACTTATATCTCCTGCATTGGCAGGCGGGTTCTTTATTACTAGTGCCACCTGGTAAGCCCAAGGGTGTGGATGTGGAGGCTGCTTAAAGGAACAGAAAGACAGGAAAGTCCGATGAGGGGTGATGCCCATTTCAGCCGGCTCCCGGCTATAGCCTGTGCTACTGCTATTAGGACTCAATGAAAAGCATATCAGATGGTTGTCTTGACCAGCATGGCTCCACCTTGGTGCTTTGGGTGGACTGTGCACATATATGAAGCAGAACCAGTGTCCTTTGCTGGTTCCTTGAGTCTTTTCTGAGCAACCCTAGACTTGGATGAGCTAGTTTGGGAGGGGGAAGGGGAAGCTGGTAAGAGATGGGCAGTGATTTCTCTTCCTGCTTCTTGCTGCAGGCGGTTCTGAGCCAGGACTGCCCCATGGAGACCTGGATGCACGCAGCCGAGAAACACACAAGGCCGTTTCCTCGGGCGGACGGCGATGGGGAGCCTGGCTGTGAAACCGGCCCCTGGACCTTGTCGCGTGAGGCTCGGACTTCAGTGACCACGTTGTTCCCGGACCTAGATCACCACGGGCTGTTCAGTGAGCTTCATTCACTCTGTCTCCCTGGTGTCTGCTTTCCTCCCCTCCGACGGATGCTGTCCTCAGGCTCTCTCCTCGCCCGTCACTCACACCTCTTCCTCTCAGCGTTGATGCCTCAGCTGGCCTACCCTTGGTGGGAGGATGGAGTGCTGTCTCTTCCTCGGCTTCTGTAAGGCTGTGATGGGTTCTGCAAGGAGTGACTCATTTCACGGAGGCGGCAGTGAGCACTGTGTTCCCTGAAACCAGCAGGCTGGCTGACAAACCTCATTTCATCTGTTGTCTGATTTTCTCTGGCAACTTCGCAGCAGTCTATAAGAGTTTTGTTCTCTGTTCCTCAACGTGGTCTTCCCTGAGTTTCCCTAGATGAGTTAAAGCATCCTCAACCTTGTACTGCTGCTACGTGGCCAACTTGGGACATCCTTTGGCTACTTTTTTCTAAGCTGAGTGTTTTCTCTGTGGCCAGACTTACAGTTGCTGAAATGAGTCTGTCTTCAGTGACAGGAGGGCTCCTATATTCCTCATTACCAAGGGGAAACAGGAAAAAGTCTGCTTCTCTTGTGCTTGAGTTACTGACATTCTCATGATGTCCTCTGTGGGCTTCGTCTGCCTTACCTTAAATTTCTTTGATTCTGAGAAATAAATATAAGAGGAGAGAAAATGTGATTTCATGGGAAGAAGTAAAGCAGCTGTGCTGAAATCCCTTCCAGCTGTGGGTTTCCTAACACAAGGATTATAATGAGGCATTGTTCACATTTGCTAATGACTAAATTATTCCCTAATGCAGACAGGGAAAACTTTTATAGCATAGGAGAGTGTGGGGGGAAATATAGTAGGCCCTATAAATATTTTGACATTTGGCAAAATTTTTTTTGAAATAGTTGCTAAGACATAAGATTTCAGAGATGGGAGACATAGCAGTTACCTTCACGTAGCTTTCCATCCCTTCAGGCAAACTGGATGTGTGTGCGTGCTCAGTGGCTCAGTTGTGCTCAACCCTTTGCGACCCCATAAATGGACTGAAGCCCGTCAGGCTCCACGGTCCTTGGGATTTCCTAAGCAAGAATACCGGAGCAGCTTGCCTTTTCTCCACCACAGGACCCTCCTGACCCAGGGGTCAAACCCACATCTCTGTGTCTGTCTCCTGCATTGGCAGGCAGATTCTTGGCCACTAGTGCCACTTGGGAAGCTCCAAAGTGGATATACGCCAGATGAAAATGAACAGTGCTGCAAGTTTGTATATGCTCTATATTCCAGAATATACATTCAGGCATGCTCGTGGTCTGGGTGGGAAATAATGGTGGAGATAGTGGCAGAGGCAGGAATGGAAAGGCCCACAGGCACGGACTTGGGGTTCCTGGCTGTCAGATTGGGGGTGATCAGACTTTACTCTGGAGTGGTGCCTGGCTCCGATGATGGAGCTCCCCTGCAAGAGTTTGGTGGGTTTAGTGCAAGCTCTGAATTATCAGAACACATTCCAGCCGAACCTCAATGAATTTGTACCACTTGGACAGTGGCTATGTGATTTATGGATGTGTTTTTAGGGGATTGGCATTAACTAGACTTACTTGATTTGCAAAACTCTACTTACATCATCCTACTTGTATCACCATTTAGTCAGGATGATATTATCTCAGATTTTGAAGGCGCTCAAAGATAAGATCAGGAAATAATTTGTCAAAATATGGAAACAGAGACTGCAAATTTAGACTGAGTGTGTGGCCACTGTGATTCTTATACAAAGTGGGAGTGGAATAGAGTAGGTGTGGAGGCATCAGGGGCACTGACAATGGTGTACGCGTGCATGTGTGCTAAGTCGGTTTAGTCGTGTCCGACTCTTTGGCCTCATGGACTATAGCCCACCAGGCTCCTCTGTCCATGGGATTCTCCAGGTAAGAATACTGGAGTGGGTTGACATGCCCTCCTCCAGGGGATCTTCTGGACCAAGGGGGCAAACCCAGGTCTCCTGCATTGCAGGTGGATTCTTTATCATCTGAGCCACCAGAGAAATCCATGACAACAATGCACTGCTGATTCTCATATCCACTAGGAGGACAATTTATAATTAAGGACAGGCTTGTTACAGAAATTGAACACACATTTAAGTAATAGGAAGAAAAAAAAGAAATAGGAAGAGTTTTTAAGGGAGTAATCCATCTTTAACTTGCCAGTTAACATTTAGCAATTTAAAACATATTTAAGGAAAAACAATGGATGTAATTTAGTCAGGCTTTCAAAATAATGTTGATAAGAGTCAACACCAAACACTACAAAGTGAGTCAGGACACATTTTTTTATTTTTGGGGGGTACAAAATTACTTTATTTGAAGGAATGGTACTAAAGAAAGAACTTAAGTAGATGTTTTGTTACAACTTACAGAAAAGGTGAAGGTGACCCAAATGTGCATGCACTGCCTTGGTGACCGGAGGAGTCGCCCGTGGCTGTGGGAAGCCAGCCTGAGGCTCAGCGCTCACTGTGTCCCAGGGTGTGCTTGTCAGAGAGGTACTCTGCCATGCCAGATCCAGGGCCCCATCTTGCGCAGGCTGGTTACGTGGTCACCCAATTCTTGGATGGCTTCCACCTGCTCGTTCAGGTAATGAGTCTCAGTGAAATCACACAGTTGGGGATCATTTTTTTCAGCTTCCAGTTTGTGCAGTTTCAGTAGTGATTGATTCACACTTCTTTCCAAGCACAGCGCGCATTCCATTGCATTCAGCCCATTCTCCCAGTCATCACGGCCTGGTTTCTTGATATCCTGAAGGAAGATTCGGCCGCCTCGCTGGTTCTGCAGCTTCATTAGTCTCTCAGCATGTTTCCTCTCCTCGTGAGATTGCTGAGGAAAGTACTTGGCAAAGTTCTTCAAAGCCACATCCGCGCGGTCAAAACAGTACGACATGGACAGGGACACAGGGGAGGCGTAGAGCTCCAGGTGGGTCTGGCGGTTGACGGCGGCCTCCGAGGCCTGGGGGCAGTCCTGGCGCCGCTGCGAGGGGGATGCGGCCGGCACGGCGGGCGGAGGAGAAGGGGCGGCGACAGCGATGGCTGCGCTGGAGCGGCGCCGGGACCTTGGGCCGGTCGGAGGTCGTTGTCAAGTGGCGAGAGCTGGCTCCTCGTAGCCTGCCGGGGCTGGGGCGGGGGGCGAGCAGCCGGGTTCCCTGCAAGCGCTGTTGAAGCAGGAAACCGCGGCGACTCTCCGCGAAGACTGTCCACATTATTCTTTAAATTATAGGTCAGAAATAGGAAAAAATATAGCCTATATACGGAAGATTATTAGAAGAAAGAGAATCCCATAAAAATAGACAAATAGTCTTTATTAGTGCTTTTTCAAATGATATTAGGAAAAGAACTCATGGTAAACGTTCACATTCACAGGTGACACTAAATTCTTCTAAAAATGAAAACACCAACCCAGCAAAAATGAGCAATAAGAAGTTTCTTTTTGTTTGGTTTTTCGTTTGGGGTGGTATGTGTGTGTGAAAGTAGCATAGAAAGGTCGAAGAGTCTTATGAAAGGGGGGAGCTGCATAGGCAGAGATTGTAAACGTATTTACAGGGTGAGAAGCTCAAACGACCAATTAGATGCAACAAATGAGACAGTGGAACTGAAACTATTGTGCTCAATTTGTTGTTGTTTAGTCACTAAGTCATGTCTGACTCTTTGTGATCCATGGACTGTAGCAAGCCAGGAGTCCCTGTCCTTCACTATTTCCCAGAGTTTGCTTAAGTTCATGTCCACTGAATCAATGATGCTGTCCAATCACCAGCAGGCCAGAAAACACTGGGTTTCTCAGAGTGTTGGAAACAAATCAGGAGATATTTTATTTCCGAAGTACAAAAACTGGGTGGAAGCCAGAGCTCCACAAATTAAGGCAGTAACTATGAAGTGGGAGAAAATACAGAAGAGGCACATGAGAGGATAAATGAGTGGCAGGGAGAGTGCTGTGAAGAGAGACTGGAACATTTTTCTAGGGAGGGCCCAAACCCAAAGGGCATTCAGTAAAATAGCTAAAACTGTTAAGAAAGACTCCGTCTGGGTGGCCACTGAGTCTCGGAACGCCTCTACAAAGGGCTATTTCAAATACACTCTAGCGGGCTTCTCTGGTGGTCTGGTGGTTAAGAGTTCGACGTGCAATGCAGAGGACACCTGTTCAGCTTCCGGTCCAGGAAGATCCCACATGCTGAGAAGCAACTAGGTCCAAGTGCCACAGTGACTGAGCCCCCAAGCCTAGAGCCTGTGCTCTGAAACAAGAGAAACTGCAGTGAGAAGCCTGTGCCCCACGACTGGAGAGTAGCCCCTTCACAGCAACGAAGACCCAGAGCAGCCAAAAATAACTAAACAAAATAAATAAAAATTATTTTTTTAAAAAAAGCACTACATAGCTAAGGCAAGAGTTAATATTGGGGAATATTATCCCCCACTGGTTTGTTTTACTTTATGGAGTATCATAACTCCAAGATATAGCCCAAACTGAAAAAAATAAATTTTCTAGGAAAATTTAAGTGTTTCTGGAGGCAACCCTGTAATGCTCATGTAAGTCAATTCTCTGAGGCTGACCTGAAGAAAAGGCAACGTAGTCCTTCCATACAGCATTCCTGGGTGGCCTGAATCTGTCTCTGTCATCTCCAATACCTGTTTGTCCTTCACCTGTAGACTGAGCTTTGTGGGTGATGCACCAGGGTCACTGTGTCACACCAACTAGTCATGCTGAGTTCGCCTGTACGATGTTGTTGAGAGGAGCACAACTTTCTCTGGAACAAGGGAGGATTGAAACAAGTGGCTTTGGCACCCAGCACCCCCCTCCCTTGCTGTGAGGGTCTTGAGAGAGGAATGCTGAGGTCATAAGGTGAGAGAAGGAAGACCAGATCAAGAGTAAACAGACCTGTTTACCAGCTATGTGTCCTGGGAAGGGTCATTTCATACCTCTGGGCTCTAGCATGCCCTCACCCTGCAAATCTGGCTTTCTGTGGTTCCATCTCGGTAGGGGCTTATTTTGGGGGCCATCTTCAGTGAGTACCAGAAGTGGGCCCGCGTGAAAGGCCCGAGTCAGAGACGAGAAGTCCATCGGTGCTCCGGCAGCACCTCAGAAATACAAATGTGACTGGAGGCTTGAGTTCCTGTATTCAGGAGATTATTGGAAATAGAATATGTTCCTTCCTCCTCCGCCTCTCTTTCTTC